GATGATGATGATGATGATGATGATACAAACGTTTTAAATAGAGAAAGGCGCTGTTCTTAAATGCGCATGCCGCTGCTAACATATACAAATTTGGTTACGGAACTTGCATCTTGCGTCGTATCCTAGAACTCACTTTAGAGCTCTTGCCAAGCAGTCGCATGGCGATATGTAGGATATGAAGATAAGATTTAACCGACAAAGATGCAAGAAAATGGAAATTAACACTGCGGGCTTATCAGCCATAAAGTCGGTATGTAAATGCCTGCGAGGACACCCCAGGGCATACATGCTCCATAACCAGGTCGGTCCTCCGTCCCACACTCTCTCGGTCCCAACCGACAAAAACAACGGGTGGAGCACTATACTCCGTTGTCGCTGGTTGGAATCTCGGGCGGTTCACAACTAGAATCGAATATGACTGGTTCGTGATGGTCAGTAAGCCAGATATGGCCATTCCGATCTCCCTTGTCTATGTCGGTTTTCATTTTAAATATTTGTATGTATATAGTTTCACGCCCGTACACTATGCCAAAAGGCTGTCTATCCTGAATAACTTAAGTAAACATGCATAGTTTTGTAGGGGAAATTGGATGATCTCTATCAGATAAGGGAGCACAATCGTAAATACACTGGACGCTTTCGTTCATTCCTAAATGAGTGAGCCTGCATGAATATAGTTACAAAAAATTACATCGATTCATTTTCAATCAAATTTGTAATCATAGCAGGCTCGATGTTATCTTATGGCTTACTGTAACAAGATTCTGATAAAACCTGCGTCTCATTGATATATCTTGCTAGCGTTCTCCAGACCTATGCTTTCCCCACTTAACGTATTTTACCAGCATATGTACTTCTAGATTTTACTTACAAGAACGGAGGTAAACAGGCCTAAGCGTGCTTAGGACAACCGTTATCAGTTAGATAGAGTTCAACGCAAACACTCTCCTTATCAGGCTGTCAGCAAAGAGGCTTAGGTAATTTCCAAAGTAAGAAAGATGCCTTAGCTACTTTTATTTCTTGCTTAAGAAAAGGGTGCTTCATAGACCTTCATCTACCAGGCTGGCATAGTCTGTTATGTCAACTTTCTGTTAACTGTATGATAGCGGCCGTGCTTCTTTGTCTGTATAGCCAAGCATTTCCAAAAGAATTTAACCCTAAATCTTCGGCATTCACCAAACAATTATTCTAACCTAATCGTGCCTTTGAGACTCTGCAAATCTTCATCGGAAAAGTTCACAATTACAGGAAGGTAGAATTCTGAAGAACTGATCGACTTCACTTACCCCACTAAGTTCACATATAGAAAGGTTCTTTAAATTAATTTTAACATTATTTATCTAGATCGCGCTTCCATCTTCATAGGAAAACTATCTTATAACTTCTTCTGAAAGGTCAGAAACGTTTTAATCGACTCGGAGAGAGCATTAAGAAATTTTCGGCAATTCTTGCAGCTTCTACAAAAGACGGAAATGCCGGTTTCGTCCTTCTGAATATTTTCGTTCAACCTAAAAATCGCAGGCAGAGTAGTCGTAATATTTGGAATGTTAGAACTCAACAAACCTAAAGCTGCATTTGTAAAGAACAGCTTCGCTATCAAGTTGCGCCTTCCAATAGATATCGATTAGCAACGAGGTGAATAAAGTTCGGGCAGGTTGTGAATTGATTTTAGTTGTTTCTAAGCATTCACAGGAGTTTTTACTCATTCCTCAAGCAGTTTGTGCATGATGTAACTTGAAATATCTTTCAATAATTGCAGAAAAACAGCAGTCAGACGATGTATCCTGCAGACTGGGGGGCACGTTTTCCGACGTGTGGCATTTGCTAACAGGACCAAAGAGATATAAAGGGACGTAACTGTCTTAGGGTCAGTTACGCGACCAAGGGGGTTGATTACAACAGCATAGTGCATCGCGACCTTGAGTCTGTCTACGTTTTGTTACGACATCGCAAAAGCGTCCACTGGGAACACAGTTTTAAGTATTTACCCATTTGAATATTTTCTTAAGTCAGATATAATGGTGACATTCGCTGTAATAATATGACCCTTTGTTTTACGGTTGCGGCAATAATCGGGTCAGTAAAAAGTAAGAAGCAAAGTGTCGAACAATGGGATCATATTGAGCCAGACAGTTTTCCGGAAAGAGAACTGCCCCAAAATGCGCATTCTTTCATATTTGTTTAAAACTGTCATATCAACCGTTTGAAATGGACGATAAGTCGTGACTGTGAAAACAATCCCAGTAGGCTAAATTGGTCAAGAAAGATTAAAAGCATAAGCAACCTGACATTCACCACTTACGTTATATTAAGCAAGTTACTTGAGCAGATTATGGTCTTGTCCACTCTGCAACTGTATGCAGATATATAATTGAAAATAGTAAGTTATGTTCAACGCTCTTTTGCAAAGAGAATAACCCACATTTTGAGGTATTGACTTCAGAATCTATCTGATTAAACGACTTGCTTCCAATAAGCAGTATGCGGTTCTTTATTGCGATGTTATGCTGGTTGGTTTCCTCAACCGTAACCGCCTCGCAGCGAGAAGATAGCTCGTTCTGAAATTGTTTTGATAATTTCTGCCATCATAATTCAGATTTCTGTTAAAACTTCTTTTATAAAGTAAATTCCACATTTAAAATAATAATGATCATAAGCTATTTGTAATATGTTAGCGCAGATGTACATCGCAATTTTGAAAGCCTTATTAGAATTCAATATGCTATCCATTAATTACAAGTTTAACTCACAGAAACAGCCTTGAGAAAACAGCCTTATAAATTCTCGAAAACAATTATTTAGTTGTGGGCGTACGAAAATATTTTGACGAAGATGTAATCATTCCATTTGTTCAAAAAATCTTTCTTTTCTGAAAATCCAAAACTTAATGTGTGAAAGTTGTTATTGTTGTTTTGAATTATTTGCCCCGCGCGATTGTGCCGCCTTCACTATGGAGTGCACTTAGCAGTCGGTCAACTGTGAATTCAAGATGCTTCTCTTAAGGGAGCCTGCTTTACCCAAAATCACCCATTTTTTGTACAAATCACTATTCGTCTTCGAAATGGAGGGTGGGCAATCTACCTCTTGTGTATTTAAATCAGTGTTCAAAAAGTCCAGTATCGGGAAACTTGAGAGACTTTCCCCTTGTGACAACACAGCCTTCTGATGAGAGTAAAAGAAGTGCCGTTAGGTTTTATTTATAACTTGCTATTTACTAGTACACCCCTGAGTGGGCCTATCGTTACAGGGAAACATAAATACTCCCTTTTGTAGTGGTTTAAGAGTCCACAATCCAAGAGGTAACAACCGGCCGATTTTGTGGTAAGTTGTTGGCCTTTGAGAATGAAACTCGTCCATTGGCTACACAGTAAACCACTCTTTTTGTCATCTTGAGAGGAGCAAACGTGGTTGCATCGAAAAAAAATTAGGACAAAATAATTTGTAAATAAACCACTGAAAGCCCTCATTATTGGCAGTTACCTCGCAGTAAACTTTGCATCAGTTAGGAACACTATATTAAAGAAGATAAAGTCTTTCAGTTTTGGAACTTGTACTTGTACTGTTACCACGCAAAATTTAATGAACTATATATATATATAAATAGATGAATTGGCTCAAAGGTCACTGCTTAGGCATCCTTGCTGGGATTTTAATCATCTCAGAGGAATCACCTATTTATCATAACTTACTTGGGAGGTATAACGGGGTTTGGCTGGTCCTCGAGGTTCCAGAATGTTTCTGAAGAGGCACCTTTGGGGCAGCTATGGAAACCACTGTCAGTGCCACGCTCGCCAGAAAAAGCCTTCAGCTGGAGCCAGCTGATGGATCGCTGTTGAATTTCGCCAATTGTCTCGTCGAGTTGACGTAGTGCATCAAGGCGATTAGACTTCCTTAAGAGATCTCGCAGTTGCAGGAACTGTTTTGTCTTCTCTACCTGTTAGGGTAGAAAAATGATATGATTATATGTAATACATTAAATCGTATAATATATATATATCACATACATTATTATGTACTAGAGAATGTAAGCTAAATTATATTATCTACTAATGTAGACGGGAGTTGGCTGTTGGATACGGAACGCACTCGTGCCGTTGTGCCTTCTGGCTTGCTCAACGACTAGGATATTACGGGCAGAAATACATCATTCACAAAGATAAGAGAGTATCAAACGGCCCTTTTTGGCTTATTAGTCGGTGTCAGCCAGTCATACCCAATCCAGGGGTGGCGATTACTGAGGCTCGAACCTGAGATTTTGTTATAAAGAAGGCCAACGCCCTATAATCCTGGGCGTTAGATATTGCGTTTTCTTCTTAGACTGGGATGAATAACGCTGCGGGGAAAGAAAACAAAGGCCATACCAGGAGACACTGATCGCAAAGGTCTTATGTATATTTCTCTCAAGTTGGAAATGCGATCGCATGTTGTAGGTCTTAGGTGAGGAATACCCTGCTTACCTTTGCGCAAGCGTTTTCTGCATGATGGATTAAAAAACAGAATTTTCCGCTGGTTTCCCATCGATCAATCTTATTGTTGGTTACTGTTCAAATCGAAATACGTGCTAAAAAATGAAAATCTTTTTTTTTTCTTGTGAAAAACCCTACAGAACAAAAGTTGAAATTCGTTGGGGGTTGGAAAAATTTTGAACGGAATAAATAAATATTGGATTACTTGCTCTAGGTGTTTTTGAATGTGTTCAGCTCAACTTAGGTAACATACGTCAAGTAAAGTCGATTCACGCAAAGCAATGCCAAAGAACACATAAGAATGCTGCATTGGAGAGTCAGCTGTAGCTGTTCCAGCAAGACTTTTATTCCAGAAACGTTTCGGATTCATACTAGAATTGATCGGCAAAGGAATACATAAACAAAGGCTGAGTGATTGCATTATTTTTATGATATTGCAGCTGCGTGATCATATTTCTGCCAGTTCAGCTGCAACCACATTCATTGCAGGTGGATAGGAATACCATTTACCTTGTTACTAGACTATCAGTAGGAAGACAATGACTCAGACAGTTCGTAGCTCAACCAATTGCCCTACCAAGTAACTCAACGGATTTATCTGTATGATCGGGTCTCGGCAGATGAGCCGTAATTTGAGCACTCGCATTATTGCTTCCGACTACTGGAAGGGTTTTAGTGAAAGGTTCGTTAGAGATGGCATTTATCACCCCCGGTAAAGACGATGCCCGTAAGACAGTGCGTTTTACGCTAAGATTAGTCCTAGAGGTGAGGTCTGGGTCACTGTATGGACGTTAATAACGGCAAGATAAGCTTTTGGGTTATGGTCAAGCAGTTATTAGAAGTAGGATTAAGGATAGTGTTTAGAGTAGGCTGTTACTTCCAACTAGTGTTGGAGACATGTACTCTTTCTGCAACTCAGCAAAAGGCCGCATGTATTACGTTTACCAGTGTTCATAATCTTATGGCCTCTCATGGCGGCCGTATAATCAATAATAACATGTTCTCTGGCGACCCCTCTTCTATCAGCATGTTCCTGGTTGCAACCGACATAATGACCGTGCCTGCGATGCAATGTTGGAGTTTCATGTTAAATGACCGAATATCGCGAGTTCGAATATTGGCAGTTACTATCCCTGGGATTGACTTTGTATTGCAATTCCGCTTTAGCGGAAGGAAAGCAAAGTTGATCCAGATTGGTAATCGCCACATTACTGTGGTCGACAATTTCGAGGAAAGGTGTTTACGACTGTGGTCGTAGGAGGTGAGCAAATTAAGCGTAAATTACTATTTTTTAAAACTACATTCAGTTCTGATTTCCGGCAAACAACATATGAAGAAGTCGCGCTCATATAACAATTTGTTTTGCGATAAAAAAGAAGGCTTTCGAATACGTAAATAAATCATAGGTTGATTGACATACCGAGGCCACGCGCCTCAGACGTTCCAATTCCACCTGATGGTCAATTATCAGGGAGTCACTTCGAGGACGCCACCCGCGTATATTCTCCTCACCACGAACGTAAGTAGATCCAGTGTCAAC